TCAGTTGCTGCAAGATTAATGAATACTCACTGAAATATGAGGCGTTGCCTCACTCTATAACCGACAGACAGACTTATTGGATATATTAAAGTTACACAAGCATACAATTGGCCAATTAATACACTAAATATTAACATTTAATATACTTCTCTGAATGCCGGGTGCCTGTCTGACAAGAGTGCCAGACCAGATAACTCTCTTGTCGAGTTTAGGTATGATATTTTATATTACAGCTTTGCTGTAGATTGTTCTAGTAGCGTTGCTACGTTATTATATCCTTAATTGCATTTGCAGTAGGATGATAGATGATTGTGGAGGTTGAGACAATGTCACTTTGTGTGCTCCACTCTACACTCATATATAGAAATGTTCTAGGAATTTTTCCTTGTAGATATATTTTTTTTTTTTTGAGATATATACAAGAGTTGTTACATTCTTGTAGAGCCACTAGTACGCGTAGCGTTTCGGGCAAGTCCTTAATCCTATGGTCCCTGGATTACGATCCCCTGCCGCGAAGAATCGTTTGTCGAATATTGTCCAGGTACTCCCCCAGTTCTAGAAAGTAATCACTGGTGATAAAGATAACTGGATAAGGTGTCCTAAGCTGAATAATTGTTCGCAAGGCACCGTTACACTTGTTCGCTGTTTGTAAACACACGCGTTCTGGCCTCGGGCTCGCCATAGGTCGCTTATTCCCAAGTTGGCTCCTCCCTCTTCCTTGAGAGGGGTAGCTTTCAATGAATATTGATTTATTTTTTTTACTGTCTAGACATATGATTGAGATAAGATGTGATTATAATATAATTAGATATAGGATATAAAGATTATAAGTAGTGCTGGCTATAGCACTATTGATTCTTATTAAGGATTTGATTTAATCCCTACCGGAAATTGATTCAATTGTTCCAATAGTTTTTTAATTAAGAAATCCTTCTAGAAGCTTATGGATCCTTGAGAAATCATGCACCAAGTCACGTAGGTCAACCAAGAGCCTTATGGTCTATGAGATCATAGGTGGCATTGTCATGTATGATGCAGATGTATAATGATTCTGATATGATATAGAAATAATACATTTCTTAGATAATAATATAGATATAGTGGGTAAAAATTTCCCACACTATCGCCGTTCTCTCAAGCAGGACCTAAGAGATCTCCTCTGCCATTCAACTTGAAGCAACTGCTGGAGGATGACCAAAATGTCGTCGATGCCCTGATAATCTTCCTCGTAGATACTCATCTTATCGAGGTGGTGTGAATTAGGCTGGTCGTAGCTGGAACACGTTTGTAGGTATGCAATATGCTGAAAATTGCGACTCATTGTTGCAATTCAAGATCCAGATCGATAAAATCATCAGGGCAAATAGTTTGACCTTTGACAGTCCGCCGGTTTCATGTCCTCTTCGAGACCACTAGAGTGATAGTGGCTCTCAGGTAAATTCAGATAAATTTGCTGATTTATTCAAAATGTGTGTGTGTGTGTAATCATTCTGAAGATACACAACTTGCTTGTGCCTCATAGGTTCTTGCTGTGTACGGTAATCTTACTGAAGGCATACACCTTGCTCCATTAGTGTGTTAGGCAATGTTGTTTAGAATGAGATATTTGTGCGGTATCACTTACCTTCACCGTCCTATAACATTATTTACGCATCAGATAAATAATGAATAAATATGTGAGTTAGCCCTGCTACTGACTTGAGAGAAAACATGAATTACATGTACAAATTAAGGGGAGACTCTTAAATATTCCGTCAATCCTCCTGAAGAGGTGAGTGTTGCAATAAATATATCAATCCTGCTGTACCCTTGATAGAAAACGTAAACTGCACATGCAATTAAAGGGTAAACTATCTTAAATATTCCATCCAACCTACCGAAGAAGTGCGAGTGTTGCTGACGGTGTTGCCTTTGCCCTTGGATCCCTGTACCATCGCCCGAGCCAACTGCAAGGAAATATTATCAACCAAGTGTCAACTGATTAGCTTTGGCTATCTTGCATCATTAAATACATTCTCAAGTCGATCTCGATCTCATTCTCAATCGACTTGAGAATAGTTCAGGACAGACGGAAACGTTGTCGTCCCTTCACCTTCTAGTGTGTGGTCTAGTCAACATACTTTAGCCACGTTATTGTGACTCATCGCCTGCATTAAATACATTGCAAAACAATTTGCTTTTGCTCTAAAACAAACAGTAGAGGAAATTAACTGACATCCTAAGTGAAAAGGACCATTTACCATTTAAATTTATCATTACTTATCCATTCCTACAAATAAAAATCAGAACAGCGTGATATATCAAATTAACAAATCCACAAGGCCCGTGATGAGGTTCGAACTTACATACAGGACGTTCCTAAGACACAGCTGGAAATATCCCGTGCATTGGCTCAAATCATCATCACGGCCCTTGTGAATTTGTTCATTTTCCATTCTTGTTTGCGAATGTGTTTTTACAAGTGTTTATTTAGGAATATTAACTTCTAAATGTTTAATAACGATAGTTTGCTCATAATCTACATTAATGCTTTACTCACAAACTGCGCTTCTGATCAAAACGCTATGCGTATTAAGTGGCTTTGCAAGATTGTAAAAATATCAGTATGATGTAATCTCACAAACCCAATGTACCTTCTTATAAATAAATAAATAAATAAATAAATAAATAAATATTTAAATAAATAAATAAATAAATAAATAAATAAATAGCGAGATCTTAACAGCAATATATTACATTGAATTTAATGCTATAAACGTACTGGCAAAATGTTCAGTCTTCAAAAACGTTAGTTTAAGTAGCAGACAATAATTATATAGGAACATTACTGGCTATTCATGCCCGTGCCACCTCTTGGGTGGCTTAATCTTTATCAATCAATCTATATAGAAACTATTTTGAAGATAAATATTGTAAAAGATAATTGGTGTTATGAGAAAAGTAGAAATCCCTTTACATACAATTTATAATGCATATCTTGTAAGTTATCATAATTTACTTTGAAAATTACGAAAATAACTGGATATCTTTCTATTAATTCACATTTAACTATCTTCCTTCTTCTCTTATCTCAAACTAACTTTATACTTCTCTGATTCATCTTTACATTAATTTATCTTTTGTTTGTTCTTCTTACTATCTTTCACCCCTATTCTGCCTGCTTTCTGTCTCTCTCTCTCTGTCACTGTATCTCCTTTTCTCTCTCTCTCTCTCTCTCTCTCTCTCTCTCTCTCTCTCTCTCTCTCTCTCTCTCTCTCTCTCTCTCTCTCTCTCTCTCTCTCTCTCTCTCTCTCTCTCTCTCTCTCTCTCACACCCACCATGGGCCTAGCGAGGAACTTGATCTTCTCGATCTCAGCTTGGGAGAGGACATCGTGGAAGACAAGGAGCTCTGGTCGCCAGTGGAGTCTCTCCACCTTGGCGGGCATGAGTCTTAGGTAGCGGTCGTCCCTGTGGTCGTAGAAGCAGGAGAGGGTGGCCAAGTACGACTCACTCTGGAGGGTGGGGTAGAGGTAAGGAGGGAATTAATAGGTGGAGGCTAGGGCCCAGATTCATGAAGCAGTTATGCAAGTACTTATGAACCTGAGGCCAGATTCACGAAGGAGTTATGCAAGTACTTATGAACCTGGGGCCAGATTCACGAAGCAGTTATGCAAGTACTTATGAACCTAGGCCCAGATTCACGAAGCAGTTATACAAGCACTTACGAACCTGGGCCCAGATTCACATAGCAGTTACGCAAGCACTTACGAACCTGTCCATCTTTTCTCAATCTTTGGCGACTTTGTTTACAATTATTAAACAGTTAATGAGCTCCGAAGCACCAGGAGGCTGTTTATAACAATAACAACAGTTGATAGGCAAGTTTTCATGCTTGTAAACTGTTTAATAAATGTAACCAAAGCCGTCGAAGTTTGAGGAAAGATGTACACGTTCGTAAGTACTTGCGTTACTGCTTCGTGAATCCGGCCCTTGGTGATTAGATTACATTCTCTCCCCCGCAAAAAAATCTACAATCTTATGGGTTATTCATGCCCTGTTACAGTACCATTACTGTCAGTTACAACACCAAGTCAATTTAAAAACAAAGATTGGTAACATTTAGTTTATAAATGTCCTCCATGGGTCAAATTTTGTATAAAATTTCTATTGTTTAATATAACTGAGAGAAAAAGTTAGTGCCCTGAAAAAAATATGACTTGGAATATATCACATATATACTTATTTATAAGCGAAATAGTGACTATAAGCAATAAGTCATATATGTGGTGTTTTGTGCGAGAGCAGGTTGCTAGGTCAGGGGAGACTTTCTATTTTGTGATAGCAGTTTAGTAAAAGTTATGTAAATATTGTAAACTATGAAAATTGTGAGGGAAATGTTCAAAATCTATGTGAAATGATTTAGATGGATGGTCCTGTACGCAAGGTACCTTGATCTCAAACACCCCTTGTACCAAGACTGTAATCTTTTGTTGAATTATCTGCATGTCGCTTACAAATTTCTCTCTGAAATATATATGTATATCTCTTAGAATGTTCGGCAATATGTTTATTATTTGTGATGTGTGTCTATATATGTATGAACACGTTGTACCGAACGGGGTGAGGATAGCCTCATCCCTTTGTGTGTATTTTACCTCAATAAACTTATTTCAATTTCAAACACCCCGCTGATATGACCACACAAACTCCAAACCAACCAGCAGCTGTTCTCCGCGACAAAGGGCCTGGAAGTTAACAGCATCTTCGTGGGGTTTGAGATCCACTCCTAGACGATATTTTGAGGTCTGTCTGCTGCTCTTCATATCATCTACCGGGATTGAGGCGCCGAAGACGGCTTCCTGCTCTTCCTGTGCCTCTCTCTCATACTGGGCCGCTATACTCTCATCATACTGCGGGAATACATAAAATAATTATATCTGCAAGGGAGGAATGTGAGATAAATAGACCCCGTATCTTAAATTCAAGCATTATATTTCCACTTTCATCTGGCGGAGAGCGCATGCCTTGCTTGTCCTCAACTCTTTTACCTCAGAGTTAGCAGTAAATGACATCCCTACGTCCAATACAAATATTAAACAAATATATATTTGTCTTAGATTCAGCTACTCGGAACAAAAGTTTCAAGTAGCACGGAACCCATATCACTCCCAATATCTTGATATACGTATACATAATAATAATATTTAGACACAATTTGATTTATAAGGTCATTGTTCTTCCATTTCTCTCTCTCTCTCTCCCACACTTACAGCTTTGATTGCAGTATTCAGGAACATGTTAACCTGTTCCTGGGTGACCGTGGCATTGCCTTCGAGTCCCGCCAGGGTGTAGGCTTCCTCAAACCACTGCAAGGCCCTCGGGTACATGCCCAGGTTGAAGGAGTGCTTGCCCATGTAGAGACAATCCTGCGCCGTCATCTCTGGCCATGGAAGGTAAGAATGAAGAGTCACTTTGGGCGCCCCGAATGGATTTATATGAATTTATATATATATATATATATATATATATATATATATATATATATATATATATATATATATACATAAGATCAGGATTGAAAGGCAACATTTACAGAGATTTGCAGATGTCAACAATAGGGTTATCTTGAGATGATTTTGGGGCTTAGCGTCCCCGCGGCCCGGTCCTCGACCAGGCCTCCTTTTTGTTACACACCCCCAGGAAGCAGCCCGTAGCAGCTGTCTAACTCCCAGGGGCCTATTTACTGCTAGGTGAACAGGGACATCAGGGGTGAAAGAAACATTTTGCCCATTTGTCTCCGCCTCCACCGGGGATTGAACCCGGAACCTCAGTACTACGAATCCGAAGTGCTCTCCACTCAGCTGTCAAGACGCCAGGGTGGGAAGTAAATTCAATTGAAAATCGCTATGAGACGATCTAGACAAACTTGTCATATAGAAGAAAGTTTGTGGTAGATAAAGCTTAATGCTGAAAATTGTTGTAAAGCTTGAACTATAGTTAATAATTACACCGTTTCTAGATTTCAGCTGAACAATACTTAAATTGCAAGGTCTGCATACTTATTTATAACTATATAAAATTATACAAAAATATATAAAATATATATTAATATTATATATACATATATATTTTTATAATTATATTTATATTTATTTATAAAGTATATTTGTAACTATATAAAAATATAGTTACAAATATACGGAAAAAGACATAGAAGATAATTCTGTTCTTCGTACTGTTTAATTGATGGAAATTCTAATTGCCAGGAATTAGACATTTTATGAATCAAGAAAGATTTAAAATAAATGAATTTAAGTTTACTAAGTCGATGAACAGGAAAAGATAACAGTTCAGTTTTCTGTTGATATATTGATAATATTATTTATACAACCGTTGTCATACTCTTTCATTCATTGATATACTTTTGGGGTATATACGTGATTGAAAGGGTACACACACACACACACACACACACACACACACACACACACACACACACACACACACACACACACATTTATTCCCCTCTCCAAGAATCTCTCTGTTAATGACTTATATCAATAATCACTTATCAGTTCATTTATATAAATCTCTATCTAGCTTTTGTTTCACCTTAACTACCTATAACTGTCCTTTGAACCTTATAACTGTCAAGAACATTTGTTTCTTCTTTAAATCTCTTGAAAACATTCTTATCTTACCTTTTAGGTTCCGACCCGACGCTAGAAATGTCTGTTTGTCACCTATTGTCCCGATTAACTCCCATGGTAGAGCGACGGTCACGCTTCATGCAGGTCGGAGTTCAATCCCCCGAGCCCGTCCACAAGTGGTTGGGTAACCATTCCTTTCCACCGTCCCATCCCAAATTCTTATCCTGACCCCCTTGAACTCCCACAGAGCCTTACCTGCAGCGCTGGCCACGCCCCAAACCGTGCCTCTCACTAGCTGAGACATGTTGAGATTGTAGACGTCGTGGAGTCGAACCAGGGCTTGGGCTGCGCCCTGCAGATCTTCCTCCTTCGGTAGCCGCACTACTCCTCCTGTGTCAGAGCCCCTCATCGCTTCCACGACGCCTAAAGGAGGAATTCCTGTCAGTGTGGTACAGTGTCTCATTTGTTCAGGAGTCATGTGGGGGTAGAGTGCCTCATTTGTTCAGGAGTCATGTGGGGGTATAGTGTCTCATTTGTTCAGGAGTCATGTGGGGGTAGAGTGTCTCATTTGTTCAGGAGTCATGTGGGGTACAGTGTCTCATTTGTTCAGGAGTCATGTGGGGGTAGAGTGTCTCATTTGTTCAGGAGTCATGTGGGGTACAGTGTCTCATTTGTTCAGGAGTCATGTGGGGTACAGTGTCTCATTTGTTCAGGAGTCATGGGGGGTACAGTGTCTCATTTGTTCAGGAGTCATGTGGGGGTAGAGTGCCTCATTTGTTCAGGTGTCATGTGGGGGTACAGTGCCTCATTTGTTCAGGAGTCATGTGGGGGTACAGTGTCTCATTCGTTCAGGAGTCATGTGGGGGTACAGTGTCTCATTTGTTCAGGAGTCATGTGGGGGTACAGTGTCTCATTTGTTCAGGAGTCATGTGGGGTACAGTGTCTCATTTGTACAGGAGTCATGTGGGGTACAGTGTCTCATTTGTTCAGGAGTCATGTGGGGGTACAGTGTCTCATTTGTTCAGGAGTCATGTGGGGTACAGTGTCTCATTTGTACAGGAGTCATGTGGGGTACAGTGTCTCATTTGTTCAGGAGTCATGTGGGGGTACAGTGTCTCATTTGTTCAGGAGTCATGTGGGGGTAGAGTGCCTCATTTGTACAGGAGTCATGTGGGGTACAGTGTCTCATTTGTTCAGGAGTCATGTGGGGTACAGTGTCTGTTTTGTTCAGGAGTCAGTGTGGTACAGTGTCTGTTTTGTTCAGGAGTCAGTGTGGTACAGTGCCTGTTTTGTTCAGGAGTCATGTGGGGTACAGTGTCTCATTTGTACAGGAGTCATGTGGGGGTACAGTGTCTCATTTGTACAGGAGTCATGTGGGGTACAGTGTCTCATTTGTTCAGGAGTCATGTGGGGTACAGTGTCTCATTTGTTCAGGAGTCATGTGGGGTACAGTGTCTCATTTGTACAGGAGTCATGTGGGGGTACAGTGCCTCATTTGTTCAGGAGTCATGTGGGGTACAGTGTCTCATTTGTACAGGAGTCATGTGGGGTACAGTGCCTGATTTGTTCAGGAGTCATGTGGGGGTAGAGTGTCTCATTTGTTCAAGAGTCATGTGGGGTACAGTGTCTGTTTTGTTCAGGAGTCATGTGTGGTACAGTGTCTCATTTGTTCAGGAGTCATGTGGGGGTAGAGTGCCTCATTTGTTCAGGACTTAGTGTGGTACAGTGTCTGTTTTGTTCAGGAGTCAGTGTGGTACAGTGTCTGTTTTGTTCAGGAGTCATGTGTGGTACAGTGTCTCATTTGTTCAGGAGTCATGTGGGGGTACAGTGTCTCATTTGTACAGGAGTCATGTGTGGTACAGTGTCTGTTTTGTTCAGGAGTCATGTGTGGTACAGTGTCTCATTTGTTCAGGAGTCATGTGGGGGTACAGTGTCTCATTTGTACAGGAGTCATGTGTGGTACAGTGTCTCATTTGTTCAGGAGTCATGTGGGGTACAGTGTCTCATTTGTACAGGAGTCATGTGGGGTACAGTGTCTCATTTGTTCAGGAGTCATGTGGGGGTAGAGTGTCTCATTTGTTCAGGAGTCATGTGGGGGTACAGTGTCTCATTTGTTCAGGAGTCATGTGGGGGTAGAGTGTCTCATTTGTTCAGGAGTCATGTGGGGGTACAGTGTCTCATTTGTTTAGGACTCAGTGTGGTACAGTGTCTCATTTGTTCAGGAGTCATGTGGGGGTAGAGTGTCTCATTTGTTCAGGAGTCATGTGGGGGTAGAGTGCCTCATTTGTTCAGGAGTCATGTGGGGTACAGTGTCTCATTTGTTCAGGAGTCATGTGTGGTACAGTGTCTCATTTGTTCAGGAGTCATGTGGGGGTACAGTGTCTCATTTGTACAGGAGTCATGTGTGGTACAGTGCCTGATTTGTACAGGAGTCAGTGGGGTACAGTGTCTCATTTGTACAGGAGTCATGTGGGGTACAGTGTCTCATTTGTTCAGGAGTCATGTGGGGTACAGTGTCTCATTTGTACAGGAGTCATGTGGGGGTAGAGTGTCTCATTTGTTCAGGAGTCATGTGGGGGTACAGTGTCTCATTTGTTCAGGTGTCATGTGGGGGTACAGTGTCTCATTTGTACAGGAGTCATGTGGGGGTACAGTGTCTCATTTGTTCAGGAGTCATGTGGGGTACAGTGTCTCATTTGTACAGGAGTCATGTGGGGTACAGTGTCTCATTTGTTCAGGTGTCATGTGGGGGTACAGTGTCTCATTTGTTCAGGAGTCATGTGGGGTACAGTGTCTCATTTGTTCAGGAGTCATGTGGGGTACAGTGCCTGATTTGTTCAGGAAACAGTGAGGCACAGTACTCAGTGCTCAGGTGAGGCAGTGGTGCACAGTACTTAGGTCTGTAGACAGTGCTACACATTGCTCATGTGCATAGTGTCTATGTATGTCTTCATATGTGTTATTATGTGTAGTGATTGTGTGTCATAATACATATTATTATGTGAACTATCTGTCTCCAGGGTTAACTTGTAAGTAGTTAACTGTCTTCCAATCACAATTCCGCTATTACTTCAGGGATTCGAAGCCATTAGCTTCAGCCATTAATATCAGCTCCCATTATATATATATATATATATATATATATCACAATCTTTGCCAACCCTCCATTATTTCCCAATGTGTATAGTGTTATATTTACTCACGACACACATCAATGCATCAAATGAACAAATTTGGCCGTGCAGAGTCTGGGATGCTCTCGGACGTAAGTTCGAATCCTCATCACAGCCCCTTGTGGGTTTGTATACATTTAATCATTACTGCTGCCTAGATTCTCGCAAGCTGAGCAGTCTTAGTGGGTCTTAGACAGT